AGAGGAAGAAGTGGGACTACTCAATCTCCACCTCTCCTGTCGATGGATGGGTCATCAATGTGGTCGTGGTGACTGATTGTTCGTTGGTGGGTTGGCGATGTGCGTGGTGCATCACCAGGAGAAGGAAAATGGACAATGATGGAAGGAAAGAATGGATGGATGAAAGGAAGGAAGGGAGAAGGAAGAAGAGAGCCCGCTCCCCCACACCCTCCCCCCACATGGGTGTGTGTGTGAGTGTGTGTGTGTGTGTGTGTGTGTGTGTGTGTGTGTGTGTGTGTGTGTGTGTGTGAATGCGTCAGCGAGGACGACGAAGGGAAGGAAGGAAGGAAGGAACGTGGCACGCACAACCACCAATGTGTGTGTGCGTGTGTGTGCGCACGAACCAATGACACATCCCCACCTCACCCCACCTCACCTCACCCCACCTCACCTGCCTGTCAGCTGCGACGACGACGACCATGATCACCATCACCATTCCCATCACCATCACACACACACCAGCTGCTGCGCAGAAGAAGGAGAATGAAGCAACGGCGAGTGGATTGGTTTTGGTTGGTTTGAAAGCAGAATCGGTTGTTTGCTCGTTTCTGCTTGCTGCTGGTTTTTGGTGTGTGTGCGATTCTTCTCTTCTTCTTCTTCTTGCTTGCTGCTTGCTGGCTCTGCCTTCATAAATTGCTTGTCTTACTCTTCTGTCGGCAACGTTCATACCAACGGGATCACGCCCGCTCTCGTCCGATCGCGGAAGCTAAGCCCGTTTGGGCCCGTTCAGTACTGCCGTGGGTGACCAGGCGGGAATCACGGGTGATGTTGCTCTTCTTTTTTTTTCTCTCTCTTCATATGGGGCGCTGTGGCTGCTGCTGTGGTGGCTGCTGCTGTGGTGGTTGCTATCTCACTTCCCTCTTCTCTCTCCTCTTGGCTTGGTGCTCGGTTCGGTTTACTTCTTCTTCTTCTTTGCTGAGCTGACTTGCTTGCTTCGACTTCGTGGGGTGAAGAGATGGTGGCGTGCGTTGGCTCACCTCCCTCTTTCTTGTTTCTCTCTTGTTGCTTGTCTGCAGCGTTGCTTTGCTTCACACACACACGTACACACACACACACTGCCTGGCTGACATCGTGTCATCTCAACGCGTTTACTTCCATGTACTGACGCAGAGGTAACCACAAAGGTGTGCTGAGCTAATGAACTTGTGACAGAGCTGATCTTGGTTACGCTGTTAGACATCTTCGTCCTCTCCTCATCCTCCTCCTCATCATCATCGTCATTGCACGCAAACACATCACATGGGTGCATTATCCTTTGCCGCCTTTCGTCGGTGGGCGTGGGTGTTGCACCATACAGACTCCTGCATCACATCGTGTGGCGTCTCATTGGGCGTGTGGTACGCCAGCCCTTCCACTTGCATCTTTCCCCTGCGAGCATTTGCGTGTGTGTGTGCGCATGAAGGTGTTGGTGATGGCAGCGAGGTGTTGTGAGGTACCCGCGCTGATTCGCACCTCTGCGCGCGATCCCCTTCACACACACACACACACACACACACACACACACACACACACACACACACACACACACACACACACACACACACACACACACACACACCTGCTACGCGTTGTCGCCAATGAACAGGTTGATCCTGGCAGACTCTGACAGTAGCAAATAGCACATTCATGACACACGAGTTGGCAGATGGTGAGAGTGGTTGAATGGACACGAGAACAAGCGAGCAACGCACACACCACACCACAAACGTCGCCACACTCACTCCACAACTCCCTGTCCCAATGACTCGCTCCCTCACCTGTGTGCACTTCGGTGGAGAGAGACTTGAAGAACTCCTCAAACACAAACACAACGCGTCTCCGCATCATCTCCACCACCTCATCAGGGATCGACCGCAGTATCCTCGGAAGCTGAACATCAACACACACACACACACACACACACACACACACACACACACACACACACACACACACACACACACACACACACACACACACACACACACACACACACACACGCTCACATGCTCTCACACACACACACACAAAACACACACACACGCTCAGCATCCTGGATCGACGAGGAGGAGGTCCTGGACCAGCCAGGGGATGCCATACAGCAAACCATTGTGGGCCAACACGCCATCGTACCACTTCTGGGTGCCAGTTGGAACGGGCAGCGTGGTTGTGTCGGTGGTGTTGGCTGTTGGGTCAATAACGAGCACGGACGTTGCGCGGCGGGGGATGCCAATGATTTTGCCGTTGTGCGTCAGCACGCCGCCCCGCCACTTGTTGTTGCCATTCGGAAGACCGGCGATGGACGTAGTGTCGGTTGCGTTGGTGGTGGGATGGACAATGAGCACGGATGTGGCAGTGAATGGGATGCCGTAGATGAGGCCGTTCTCCGCGAGCACGCCGCCTTGCCATGCCGCTGAGCCCGGCAGTTCGGCGATGGTTGTAGTGTCGGTTGCGTTGGTGGCTGGGTCGATGATCAGCACAGACTCCGCATTGCGCGGGATGCAGAAGATGAGGCCGTTATGTGCTTGCGCGCCACCGTACCACTTTGCGAAGTTCGCGTCGGAGAGGAACAGCGTCGTTGTGTCGACGACATTTGCGGCTGGATCAACAAGGAGGATGGATGGCGAGTTCCACGGAATGCCGTAGATGAGGCCGTTGCTCGCAGCCACGCCGCTGATCCACTTGCCTCCGCCGTCTATTATCCCACCAAGCGTGGTCGTGTCCACTGTGTTTGTGCTGGGGTCAATGATCAGCACAGCTTCGGCGTCGTGAGGGAACCCGTAGATGAGGTTGTTGTGAGCCAGCACGCCACCTGCCCATTTCGCTCCACCAGACTTCAGGCTGTTAATGGTGGTGGTGTCAACCACTGTTGTCGCTGTTGTTGTGGGTGTCGCTGCTGTTGTGGGTGTCGCTGTTGTTGTTGTTGGTGCCGCCGCTGTTGTTGCGGATGGGTCAATGATGAGCACGGAGGCGGAGTTGTATGGGATGCCGTAAATGAGGCCGTTGCTGGCGGCGACGCCACCAACCCAATCGGAGTTTCCAGTGCCAACGCCTGGGATGCTGTTGACGGTGGGCTGGAACCGGCGACACAGCGCAGCCTCAAACGCCTCGTTCTGCGCTCTCAGGGCTTGGTTGACACTCCGCTGCTGGTGCAGCATGCTCGCTTGCATCTGCACGGTTTCGAACAGCTGGGCAACGTCAACCCCATTCACAAACACTGGCTCATGCACCGGGTCGCTCGTGTTGATGTGCATCGCCCCATTCTCGTCTTCCATCAGCACCACTACCTCGCCACCATCGCTCAGCGCCAGCGCCACAGCCAAGAGCACGAAGAGCACGACGAGGAACATCCTTCGCACAATCATCATCGCCGCCGCTGCGGTTGTTTGCCGTTGGCGAATATGATCCATCATCTTTCCCAGCACACTGAATTCAGTCTACGCTCGCAGCTTTTTTGGCGCGCACTTTCAATGTGTGTGTTGTGGACATCCCAGCGCACAGCACACCACACCACAACGCAGCACAGCACAGCAGAGAGCACAGCCCGGGGATGGACCAACACCCAGCACAGCCACCATCGACACCATCACCAGCACCACGAATCACGGCAGCAACTGCAAAGCACGGGGCAACTGCCATGCCAACAGCTCAGATGCACATGCATCAGCGCTTCACGACAACGACACCAAGCTCACCCTGGTCGACCCCGCACGACAGCAGTGGCAGCAAGATCAGCAGCAAGGGTCGTGGCATCCGAATGGCCGGGCGAAGCAGTAGCTGGGGCAGCAGCGGAGACACCGGTTCATCTGGGCCGCCGACGTCGTTTTCAGCATCAGCAGCAACAGCACCGTCACTTGCGGCCATGCAGGCGCAACGACAGCAGCAAGCGGGGCTGGGCAGGACGCTGACGTCCTTTGGCTCGCAATCGCAACACTTGCAGGATCATGCGATGGCCAGGCAGCCACGCCAGGAGCAGCAGCAGCAGCAGGGACGTGGGCAGCTCTTGTTTGGGGCTGGAACAGGACAGCAGGCTGAGCCGCACCATCAGCAACAAGGTGCGCAGTCTGCAGGGACGCGTTGGTGTTTGCGCGTTGTTGAACCAGCTCCACGCGAACGGCAGCGACAGCCGCATTCGGACCGGCAACATCAGCAGAACGGCCGGTTTGCAACTGGCATGTTTGGGCAGGACGGTGACGCAGGGCGGAGGCTACGACCGACAGTTGCGCCGCGACGGAACGCCAAGCGGGATGTGGAATCGCACATGGACACGTCTCAGGAGGACGACTATGATGAGGGCGAGCGCCCAAGCAAGATGCCGTCTCCATACAAGCCAAACCCCACGCTTGTATTCGGTGAGTGCGTGTGAGCGTGTGTGTGTGTGTGTGTGTGTGCGTGTATGCGTGCAATTGCGATGGTTTGCCCCTCTACTCCTTACCTCGTACTCACCTTGCTGGTTTTTGTTTTGTCTTCAACTCACGTCGTTGTCACACACACACACACACACACACACACACACACATACATACACGCATACACGCACACACACACACACACACACACACACACACACACACTCGGTTCTGCAGCGCGAACGCTGGAGCTGCTTCGACAAGGAGCGAGAGCACAGACAGCAAAGCCCAAGCAACAGCCACTGCCCGCGCATCCGTCGCCGCACGCCTGCAGTGCACCGAATGCCGTTGGCACAGCGAGCAGTCCACGCTTCACCAGCATGGACACGGACCCTGTGCACCCGAACCAGCAGCGCGCTGGGCAGCGGCAATTGCCGTTCGCACCACACCCTCCGTACACATCAACCCAATCTCCGCAACGACACCGACAGCAACACGCGCCACGACAACAGCAGCAACAACACGCACAACAACACTACCCACAACAACAACAACAACACCACCACCACCCACAACAGCAACAGCAGCAGCAGCAGGACATGGCGGATGACTCAGAGGAAGACACGTACCCGTGTCGTGTGTGCTGCCATCCCAACCCAGTGTCGCGGCTGCTACAGTGCTCATTCTGCGATGGACCAGCCTGTGCCGGCTGTGCAAATGCGTGCGATGGATGCCACTTCCATTTTTGCAGCCTGTGCTGCGTCGCAAAGTCAGTTATGCACATGTGTGTGCATGTGCGTGTATGCACGTGGCGCTATGTGTGCGTGTGTGCGTGTGGAAGTGTGTGTATTTGCTTGTGTACTGCTTGCTCGTTGTGTATGTGCGTGTGTATTTGCTTTTGTGCACTGCTTGCTCGTTGTGTATGTGCGTGTGTGCTTGTAAACGATGATGTCGGGTTTCCTCATCCACATCCCATTCGCCACGTCTCACGATCACCGCCCTCTCATATCCCCCTCCCTGTCCTCGGATTTCCCACCAACAGTTTCGATCAACAGCGCGATCGCTACTTCTGTCTCTCGTGTCTTCAACAGCAGCGATGAGCCATCACCATCCTCACCAGTCACCGTCACCAGGCACCGTGCTGCCGTTCCCATCGACGAATCCCCCCCCCCTTGTCCATAACTGACCATGTGATTTGTGTGTCTGTGCATCTGTTTTGTCTACCCACTGGGCGTGTGTGCCCGCTGACCATAATCAGAACCTGGCTGCGTTTAATGTGTTGTTTGTTCAACCGAGTTGAGATTGCAAACCCTCACTTTTCCTCATCCGTTGTTCCTCCCCTGTTCCCCGTATTCCTAAGAGAGTGCGCGCGCGTGTGTGTGGTCGCGCGCGCGTGTGTGTGTGTGTGTGTGTGGTGCGCCTACGCTGCCTCGTCTTGCCTGTCGCCTCCCTTGTCTGCAGCCGCTTGGATCTCTATTAATTGACACCAGACATGCACATGTGGCAGTACGTGCCGTGAGTACAAACAACCAGAACACGAATCATGTCAAACGCACGTGTGCATCGTGAGCGCGCTCTCATTTTGATTGCACAAAACCAAACAAGCACAGACAGACAGACAGACAGGCAGGCAGGCACACACACACACACACACACACACACACACACACACACACACACACACACACACACACACACACACACACACACACACACACACACACACACACACACACACACAACACGACACACACACACACACACACACACACACAACTCAACACATACACCGCACCGTTCTTCTTTGGACCGCGCCAGATGACGGCTTCGCGCGGATCGCCGAGGAGGAAACCAACGCTCATCAAGCAAATGTTGTCCTCAACACTCTGTCCAGCGCATGCACATGAACAGGGAATAGGGAATATCAGCACAACAGCCACCTCGGACAAACGCTGGCACTCAAGGACGGTCAGGCAGGCAGTCAGGCTCACAAACACAGGCTCAGGCGCACATACATACACACATATGCTTCAGTGCACACAACTTCCCCCTCACACACACACACACACACACACACACAACCCCTCCACCCCCACTCCCCCTCGCACACACACACACACACACAACCCCTCCACCCCCACTCCCTTACACTCCCACACACTACCACCCTCCTCCACCACGTGCCCTGCACACACCACTGGGGACCAGCCGCTGCCGGAGTTGTGGACTTGTTCGCCTTCGGCTTGGAAGACTTTGGGTTGGGAAGGGCCGCAGATATCCACGTCAAGCACGCCCACTTGCTTGGTCTCGTCGAGTGCAAACGCGCGCGCAAGGTTTGCTGTGAACGTGCTCTTTCCCACGCCGCCTTTGCCTGACAACACGAGGATCTTCTGCTTGACGGTTGACATTTGCTTCTCAATCAGCGGCAGGTCTGCGCATGCGTGTGATTGGGTGTGATGTGGTGGTGGTGGTGCGGATGAGGGAATGGAGTGAGCGCAAGGATGGCCAAAGAAAGCGGCGTCTCTGGCAGATCGTGACCAGCTGCTCAACAGGGGCAACCAAGAGCAGGCGAGGGAAGCAAAAGCGAGGGAAGCAATCGCACGTAATGGCACAGGCAGGCAGGCAGACGGAGAGGCGGACAGACAGAGAGACGGAGAGACAGACAGACAGGCAGGCACACACACACACACAGACACAGACACACAATCACACACACACCAGGGTCTGGTCCTTTGGGTTGACTGGATGCACAGATGCGCTGGTTTGGGCATCCCTCACAAGCGGATGCCTTCCCAGCATTCTCACTCTCCGTACCCGGACAGTCTGATGAGTCGAACGCGACACACACGTGCAAGGGAGAGCGAGCTTGAGTGTGAGGGAAGGGAGCGAACGCACAGATGCGAGTTCAGACAGACAGACCGACCGACAGATAGAGGGACAGACAGAGATAGAGGGACAGACAGACAGGAGAGATAGAGGGCAGACAGAGATAGAGGGACAAACACACACAGACACACACAGACACACACCCACACGCACACAGACAGACAGACCCACACCCACACCCACACCCACACCCACACCCACACCCACACCCACACCCACACCCACACCAACACACACACACACACCAACACACACACACACACACACACACACAACACGTACGTTCAGGTGCATCTTCAGGTCGCGAGCTCATGGCTTTGTTGTCGTGGTCTCGTGTGTGTGTTGTTGCACTTGCCATCAAAAAGTCATCCCAAATGACGAGAACGTCGCCATTTTTGCCTTTGACCAACAGCAAATTTGACTTTGGACCATAATGAGCAGGAAGAAGCAGAAGAAGGCGAAGCAGCAAGCTGCTGTTGCTGCGGATGCCAGTGTGGACGGTACACTTGTGGACCAGACACACAGCAGGGCGGAAGCAAGTTCGAAGGGGGACTACACGCACGATGGCACTGCGCACGGCGATGGCGGCAGCAGTGAACAGCACCCTGAAGAAGTAGTACAACACCAGCAACCACAGAAACAAGAACAAGAACAAGAGCAGACTGCAGGGGAAGATGACGCAAATACAAACAAACACATCGTGACCGCTGGGGAAGACGATGACGAGGAGAACGACAGTGAGGGGCAAGTCAGCGACGGTGAGCATGAGCAGAGCGGAGAGGGGAGGGAAGGCGGGCATCCTGGCAAACACGTTCCCACCCGCAAAACCACGGGCCTCCGATCAATGCTTGCGTCCATGTCTCGCGCGTTCAGGTCGGTGTGTGTCGATGTGTGTCGATGGGTGTCGATGTGTGTGCTTGCTTGCCTGCATGTGTACGTGTGTGTATGTTCACCTGCACGTATACGCGTCGCGCGTGTGTGTATGTGCACCTACACGTATACGCGTCGCGTGTGTGTATGTACTCACCTGCGCTTGCGCCTGTTCGCTGAGAGCCGTTGCTTCACCCCCTGCATGAGCATGTGACGCGCATGTCTTCTTCTTCTTCTCACTATGCATCCGCACCTGCGTCACGTTTTGCCCATCAGCGGGTCATCCAGTGCACCGCAGGCAGCGACGCAGTCGAGCAAGGCATCCTCGAGTGCACCACGCACACAGACCATGAGGAAGAATCACAAGAGCAAAGGCCAGCAGCAGGACCTTGATGTTGATGCTGGTGCGGTGTTGCCGCTGCTGGTGCACTTTGAAGACCAATGGCGCCAGCTCTCCGCCAACAACCAGGTCAACACAAGCAAGATCCAGGACATGGCCGCAGATGTCGCACATGCGCACGCGTTTGTCTCCGCCCAATCCCGCCAGTAAGTGTCATGTGTATCGTGTGTGTATGTGTTTGTGTGTGAAGAGTGTATAGCGCGCGCGTGTGTGTATAGCGCGTGTGTGTATATCATGTGTGTATAGCGCGCGCGTGTATATATCATGTGTGTGTTGCGTGCACGCATGTGTATATCATGTGTGTGTTGCGTGCACGCATGTGTGCATATCATGTGTCAACATCTTTGTACACTTATGTATCACACCGTGTGCACGCATCGGGTCTCTCTCGTGTGCGAACGCAAACATGGTTGTTCTTGTGCACCCGCACATGGACGCCGCACCTGTACGCTCACGCCTCCCTCCCTCCCTGTTGTCTCTCATCCATGTGCCATTCGCCACTGTGCAGGCACCGCGTGCTTGCGCAGCAGTTCAAGGTGTTGCCGGAAGTGGCTGCATTGGCGGTTGCTGCGCAGGGGAAGATAGACGATTTGCACACGGAGCTGGTGGCGCTCGACGAGCGACTGCGCGCGTTTCAGGCCGTTAGACAGGCGTGCGTCCTGGAGAACACAAAGGTGTGTGGTGCCGTTGATCGTGAAAGCACGCGAATGCCGGCGAGTGAAGCTGTCTCCTCGTTGCTGTTGCATCCATCAACGTGCTCACTCCCTTCTTTTGTTCGCCTTGTCTTACTACCCCCCCCCCCCCCTACGACCATCGCTTGCACCCAACTAGGTTGCTGCACTCAAGGCTAAGCGAAAGAAGACACTCAAGGCAACACCGTAGCTCCCCCCTCCCACACACACACACACACACCTGCTGTTACATGACACGACCGTCCTTGCTTTCAATAGACCAAAGCAGAAGAGACCAGTGTGATTTGAAGAGACGAGAGAACGAGAGAAGTGATTCATCATCATCATCATCAAAGGCAACAACCAATACAGAAAGTCTTGCTCCAGCAAACAACCCAAACAACAACACAGACAAGCAAGACACACGACACCACACGCACACACGCACACACGCACACACGCACACACACACACACTCACTATCGAGTCATGCAGCGTGGTGGGCCCAAGGCCGCAGAGGCCATGAAGCACCTTGAGGCAGGCGAGAAGGCGTAAGATGCAAGCAAGAACGTGGACATCTGTGTGCGTGTGCGTGTCAATGTCGTGATCGCCATCAACATCCTCACAAAACCTTGTGCCACGTACATCAGGCTCAAGACGAGCATGTTCAAATGGACGCCAGAGTACGACATTGCCGCGGGAGAGTTTGAGAAGGCTGGTGCGTGAACCCAAGCGCTACTGATGATGGTGTACATGATGGCTTCTCACAGCGCTCATTAAGTCGTCGCTCATTTCGCATCGCAAGGCCTCGCCTTACCTCTGCTTGATTGCACCTCTCTTTGTCCTCCTCCACCCTCATGCCTCCGACGCTAACCCCACTCCTCATTCCACCCGTTCCCCTTCTCTGTGGCCATTATCTCTCGACTGCTACAGGCCTCAACTTCAAGATTGCAAAGGACTACAAGAACGCCGTGCACGCGTACCGCCGCGCCGCGGAATGCCACGCGCATCCAAAGTGCTCGTCGACGCCCTTCCACGCGGGCAAGGCGCTGGAATCGGCCGCCTCGTGTGCCAAGGACATGAAGGATCCCAAGCTCAGCATCGAGCTCATCAAGGAGTCTGCCCAGAACTACCGTCTCACGGGCAAGAACCTCTCCGCCTGCAGCGTCCTGGAGAAAGCAGGTATGTGCACGTATGTGTGTGAGTGTGTGTGAGGGAGTGTGTGAGTTTGTGTGCGTGAGTGTGTGTGAGTGTGTGTGTGAGTGTGAGTTTGTGTGCGTGAGTGTGCGTGAGTGTATGCATGTGTGTGTGTGTGTGCGTGAGTGTATGCATGTGTGTGTGTGTTTATGTGTGTGTGTATGCATGTGTGTGTGTGTGTGCGTGTGTGTATGCATGTGTGTGTGTGTGCGTGAGGGTATGCATGTGTGTGTGTGAGCGTGTGTGAGTGTGTGAGTAGAACTTGTTTGCACCTTCACGCACGCGAGTGTCATCCTCTTTCATCCTTCTCCTTCCTCTCCCCTGCCCTTCCCTCAATTACACGTCTCAATCTCTGTTTGATGACAACCACTCTCACACCGTCATCACAACGACAACGACGACGACAACGACGACGCCCACCACCACCAACACCCAACACGCTCCCATCACAGCCCAGCAGTGCGAACAGCAGAAAGACTTCACGGACGCCATGGAGCTCTACAAGGACATTGTGGAGCTGTTTGAGGAGGAAGGAAAGCAGCGCCAGTCCAAGCGCCCGCTCGAGCGAGCCATTGCCTGTGCCGTCAAGGCCCAGGATTACCAGGCCGCCTCCCAACTCCTCGGTTGGTCGCCACGTCTACTGAAGCCCTGCCTCATCCATCCGCTTGCGTTGCGTCGTTGTTTTCACACACGCGTCCTCATTGTCATTGCTCGACGCTACAATGTCTGACAGAGCGCCAGAGCAAGCTGCTCCTGGAGACGGCCACCATCGCCTTTGCATATCAGGTACACGGCACATGCACGCGACATGCTACAACCTGACATGGCACCATTCCTTCTCTCCTCTGCGCCAACACACACACACACACACACACACACACACACACACACACACACACACACACACACACACACACACACACACACACACACACACACACACACACACACACACACACACACACACGCACGCATCATTGACACCTGATCCTCTCCCTCCACACACAGAGCGGGCTGTCGCAGGTTGTGGTTGCGCTGCACACGGGCGATTTCGTCAAGGCAGACCGCGTCTTCAACACCTGCGCCAGCGAGTGAGTGGCGCCGTGACAAATACGAGCGAGAGGACGGTGTGGCAGCGAAGAATTGAATATCACACAGCTGCTGTCTGCCTTGACTTTCTGTTTCTCACCGAGCACCCACTTCCACCACAACACACACACACACACACACACACACACACACACACACACACACACACACACACACACACACACACACACATCAAGACTGAATGGGTTTGGCAGCAGCGAGGAGGGCCGTCTTGCGTCACAGCTGCTGGAGGCGTTTGAGTCCGGCGATGGACTGGAGCTCGATTCCATCAAGTCAAACACAATCTTCAAGTTCCTCATCCCAGAGGTAGCACAACCCCCACGACCACACATTCACAAGCAACGCCAAACGCTGTGTTTCGTTTCCTCTTTCCGCTCACACACACACTCACTCACACGCACACACACACACACACGCACGCACTCACTCACTCTCACTCACTCACTCACTCACTCACTCACTCGCTCTCTCACACACTCTCTCTCGTGGGCAGGTGTCTTCGCTGGCGCGTGGGCTGAAGATGGACGCGACGATGGCGGTTGAACGGGCGCCGGCGCAGGAGGACCAGGCGCGATCGGCGCTCTTCGCACCAGCACCGGCCAAGCAGCAGACGGACGAGGCGGCCAAGGAGAAGGCAGCGGACGAAACGAACAGCAGCAGCACGACGGCGCCACCAACCACAGATGCACCGCCCCCGTACACGGAGACGGATGCACACGTGGAGGCCGCGACAGACGAGATGAGCAAGGCCGCGCTGGCGCAGCAGGCGGACACGGGCCACGCGGCGCCATCATACGAGGAAGCGAACCAGGACACCATGGCGAAGGCCGCGAAGGAGGGAGGAGATGCAGCTACAGATGCTGATGCCGGGGCGCCGCCAGCACAGCAGAACGAACAAGAAGATGATGATGATGAGGAGGAGGGAGGTGATGAGGACGACGATATCCTGTAGTCACAACTCCTTTGCGAGATCGTGCGTGTGAATGCGTGTGAATGTGTTCGTACGTTTGTTGCTGGTCCTTTGTCACCCACTCTTAATCTGGTTGTCCCTGTGCTCAACGCCCATGGTTTCGCGGTTCGATGCAGTCTTGCGTTGCATTGACACAACGAGCGGCTGTTTTCGTTGTCGTTGTTTGTTTGTTTTTATCGTTGTTTAGTTCGTGACGGTACCGCAGCACCTCCACGTGCATACAAAGTTCAATAACATCGCTCAAGGCGACCTGGTCCAGTACTCTCCCTAGTTGTGTGGCTAGTTAGACACAGCAATTATACAAACGCACGCACACGCACACGCACACCTAATCACCACCATCAGCGTGCGCGAGGCCGTGCCTGTGCATGTGCTGGCTGCCCTGGGGCGCGTACGTGTGTGCGATGCGCGTGCGGGCAGAGGCGAGCACTGCCCCGAGACAGTGCCGGTACGCGTGGTTGGCGCGGAACGCGTGCAGGTCAGCAGACGCGTGGTGTGGCGTGTGCACAACATATGCATCCGGAACAACAAACAGGTTGAAGCGGGCAGCGACCAATTCCTCGATGTGCGAGACCTTGTTCCATCCAAACCCAAGAAACGTCTCGTCAAAGGGCGGCGCCGTCTTGGGCAGCACCAAATACGGCTCAAACCCTTGTTGTGTGTTGTGTGTTGTGTAGCGTGATGTGTTGTGTGAGTTGAGTTATGTGGGCGAGGGGGTGGGGTGTGTGGAAGAAATGAGTGGGCAGCCGCATGTGATGATGGGGCAGGAGGACTCGTACGCACGAACACGGGAGGTCCTACCTGATTGGTGCTGGATGAGGTAGGGTGCATCTGCCTGCTTCCATCTTGCGAAATCGGTTGCGCTGTGTCCCTGGGGCCACTCGCTCACCCGGAACGGTTGCATCTGTGGTAGTGGTGGTCATGGCGCGTGTGAGAGCAGGAGCAGCAAAGCAGCACATGCATGCCAGCGCTTTGGAGTGGAGACATTCAGGTGCAACAGAAATGACTCGAGAACAAGGAAAACACACACACACACACACACACACACACACACACACACACACACAGACAGACACACACACAAACGTGCATACACACACACACACACCTGGCCTGTGCTGAGCTCCCACAGCAACCGCTCCTTCGTGTCGGGGACGTGACGCTTGTACGACACAGACTCAAATGCCGGCACCACGAGCGCCGTGCCACGCGCTGCACCCATCGACGCCTGGCGATGACAACGCAACATGTCATGAAAGGGGGGGGGGAGGAGGAACGAGGATGAGGAGGAGCGTGAGGACGGAAGCAGTGGCAAACGAAACAAAGATATCACACATGTTCAAATACACACAGACACAGACACAAACACACACACACACAGACACACGCACACACACACACACAGACACACACACACACAGACAGACAGACAGACACACACACACACACAGACACACACAGACACGCACACACACACAACGCATACACCTCGATGTTGAGTTCGCCAATGCTGACGGCGCGGACGTGGCGGCCGAGGACGGCGTGAAGATCCGACCGGAACGAGAAGTCGACATCGAGGTGCAGGAAGTATGGCGTGCGGCACAGCGAGATGGCCATGTTGCGTAGGCGGTTGATCGGGTACAGGCTGCCGTCGTGGTCTGGGTCCTGGTACACCACGTGCAGCGCCACGTTGGTGAGGTGCAGCGCCGCCAGCGATGTGAACGCGTCGTGCTCGGAGATGAACACGGCCGCGCTGATGGGGCCCTGCCACGTCTCCGCCATGGCGACAAACGCCTGCAGTCGGTCGAGGGTGAAGTGCGTCACCAGCGTGATCTCGCTCTCGGTTTCCAGCGACGCGTCGTATGCAATGAAATACGGGTGCACGCGGAGTGGGGCTTGGAGCGCACTCAGGTACGTTGGAGGACAGGCTACTCGGACAGCACGCGGGATGGACGTTTGGCCCATCACACCCAGGATGGAGGATTGCGATGACGACGACGACGATGATGATAATGCCGACAGCTGTGGTCGTGGTTGTCTGTGTGCACTCTGCCTTGTGTGACCGCCTCCACCATCCTCACCTTGGTTCTCAAGCTCTTTTTGCTGTTGCTGCTGCTGTTGGTGTTGGTGTTGGTGTTGGAGTTGCTGCTGTATTTGTATTTGTTGCTGCTGCTGACGGTTGTTGACAGCCGTGGTGTGGCTGTCACATGCGACGTCGAGGGTTGTGCTGGTGAGCAGGGCCCCGTCAACGCGCCGAGAGATCTCGTACGCGTCCCTGAGGGCACGAAACGCATTGTCGTCCAGCAGTGTGGCCTGCATGTCCTTTGCGCGTGTGTTCCAGTGCACGACGAGGGCGTCGCGGGCAGAGCACTGCGTCTGCGCCAGCGAGTGTTCGCTGAGCTGAAAATTCCACACGCACGACAGCAGCAGCATCCACCTGTCAGCAGTATGTGAGAGAGTGTGTGTGTGTGTGTGAGTGAGTGAGTGAGGGAGGGAGGGAGGGAGGGAGTGAGGGAAGGAGGAAATGAGTAAGTAAATGAGTGAGCGAGCGAATGTGTGCGTGAGTGTCCATGGCACTGCAGCTCAATCACGACAACACCAAATGTGCAAGCAACTCGCACCCCGACACAGCCCCCACTCTCCCTTTTACAGCACGCGGAAACTGACTCTGGGTGCTGGTTGAGGACGGCGTTGATAATGTCCTGGTCAGCGAGAGCAGTGGCCGTGACGCCAATACGATTGTCAGAGAGAACAGCACGCGTCGTGTCGCGCCACACATTCGCCCAATTTCGCTGCGAACGACGACAAGAAAGGGAGGCCATACACAGAGGTGAATGCGGTGCTGTTGATGTGGGGATCACATTGGCCAAACAGCTGCGCTCTCCTTGAAACCTTACACGCACACACACACACACACACACACACACACACACACACACACACACGACGACGACGACG